TATGTGGTATATAATATAGCAGCCCTTAAATAGTCCATACTGTCAATTGAGATATCTTAAATTATAATGGAACTTATTTTGAATTTATATGAAAGTATGGATTTATGAAATAATTAAATAATTTTCCTGCCATGATGATGAAAAATTATGATTACAGACACTTTCATTGCTTTATAAGACCATAATGAGTTTTACTTCTTATTTGGAAAAGGAGTAAATTTGTTTTGCTTAATATTTATTTTTAATCAGAAACATGTCAACATTAAAGCCTACCTATTTGATATTTTTAATACTTTTCATAGGATACCCATAGAGGTTCTTCTTTGGCTGCACATAGAGAAATAGTCATTTTACTACTTTTTTTCTGAAAAGCAGTTGATACTAGTAAAATTAGCATAATTATATTGTTAATCTTCTCTTATAATTATAAATCTAGGAATAGGGAAAATTTAAGTAAACACTTTTTTCTTTAAAAACAGTACTTAAGCACATGATCACTATTAAAATGGGTTTAGGTGTGAAAGGAGACTCTCCAACATAGAGATAACAGGTCAAACTTACAGGAATGTCTGATAAATAAAGAACAGGATACTTAGAGAACAAAGATGTGAAAGATATTTAGACACATAATAATCATTGTCTTTCAAAGATTTTCTTACTTACTCCTTCTCCTTCCACTAGGCTTTGTGTCTACTTTGTCCTCTTCAACTACTTATATATCAGCACTTTTTTAAGACTTCACTGCACTGTTAAATTTACACATCTTTTTCTACAACTAATCTAAAAGTTCCTTTTAGGCAGGAGCAGTGTCATATATATCCTTTATTCCTAACTCCCAACACAGGGCCTGGACCACTCAGTAAGCATTCCTTAAATGACTGAACTGATGGTAGCAACTGTAGAGCATAGTTCTGAAAACTGATTTGTAGCTATCAACAGCTTATCTGATTTAGTTGGTGTGTGTTAACCAAATAATTTATATGCTGTTTAGGATAAAGGTTTTTTTAATTCCCTCAATTCCTTAGAAATAGTATACATATACTTATTTGAGTATGTGAATAGACTTCACCAATGAAAATGAAGCCATACATATAACTAAAATTTGCTATTTATCATCTCATTGGGAAAGCAAACATATTAGTGCACAGACTTTTTCTTTGGTAAATACCATATTCCTATGTCTAAGGAATAAACAAGTAGCCATCTTGTGTAATTTTCCACCCTTCCTTTCCCTCCCTTCCCCCACCCAGTATTCAGTAGCCCATTATCTCCAAGCTTCCACACTGATGCCTCACTTCTTGGCTCTGACCTGATACAGAAGATGGAGATAGAACACTCCTTTTTCTAAGATACTATGCATATGGGTCAACTTTTCTTTTTGTCTCTGAAAACTTTTCAGAGAGTTTTCTTTCCTGATTTGCGTCCGTCCGTATTAGATTAAGTGAACAAATAGATACATATTTTTTTAAGTCTTCAAGAAAAAAAAGTATAAATATGAGAGGTTTTCATTTCCTTGGGTCAAAAATAAAAGTTAGGTGACGTGTTCCCTTGTCTAGACTATTAAGTTTTTACATTTAAAAAAATTTTTTATTTAATAACTTGTTATATTTGTATTTTCTTTAATTTTTTAATTTAATATCTAAGATCAGTAACCTTATGCAGAATTATTACTATCTAAAGTTAAGAAGTGCTACTGTAAATCTTAAAATGCAGTCAGTAATGTTTTCTCTTAAATCGTAACCCACCTTTATGTAGTTATATGTGGACAAATGTAAATTCTACCAATAAAAATTGGGAACCACATCAGTATTTTGTAAAATAGCAATTATGGCTGACAGTAATTTATAGAAGATTATTTCAAATAGTTAAAAATAAAATCCAGCGAATAGTACTTATTACATGAAGATATCTTTTGTGTGTGTAGTCTGATGGTAATTCAAATTAGAAGCACATCTTTAATATAAAGATAGATGGCATGGTGTAGTTTTTCAGTTTTCAAAGTGACAGATTTTTTGGAAGATGCTTACAGCTATGAGAAGTTCACACACCATTTCTGAACTATGTGTTATTTCAGAATTTTTTTTTGAATGTTGAAAAGAAAGGAAAAGGGAAAACAAGAAAAGAAAGGAAAAACTAATGTGTAATAATAGCAATGCTGTGCACACATCAGCAACTTCTTTTGGAAGAATAGAACTAGTACTAAGGTTTTTACAAAAAAGCTGTGTATGCAGTAAATATGGTATGAGACTGGTGTGCAGAGTAGTATAAATTAATATCATCTTCACACATCTCATAGAAACTTCAGGTGATTTTAGAATGGATGTTATAAATTTATATATGTCATTGCTTTTTGTTGACAGTCTATAGGATAGTTCCCATACTTGACCTTTCATGTGCTCTTCTCTTCTTGGGTTATAATCATGAGGTAATCATTACATTGGGCAAAACAATAGTGATATTAGAATTTAAAATAATTTAAGAACAGCTCTTAAGAAAGTTTTGGTCAATTAATGGAGACGTGAGTTGGGAGAAATCAGAAGTGGTAATGAACCAGGAGAGACTGTGGACTCTGAGAAACAAACAGGGTTTTGGAGGGGAGGGGCTGGGGGATTCGGAGGGTCTGGTGGTGGGTATTAAGGAGGGCACATATTGTATGGAGCACTGGGTGTGGTGCATAAACAATGAATCTGAAAAAATAAAATTAAATTTAAAAAAACAAAAAAAGAAAAATTATGAATTTCCCAATATTTTGTGGGAGATTAGTATTACTACATAAAAAATTAGTGTATTTTTCTTCATAAAAATTATGTTAAAACATAAAAATTATGTTAAAAACCACAGCTTGCCAATATATAAATGTTTTCAACTATATAAAAATGTTCTGATTTTGGAAAGAAGTACTTATTTATAAAATATAATCATATTTAGCATTCTGATATTTAAATCCTTAAAAGTAAATTTTCTCAATACTCATGTGTACAAGATAAAATGTAAAGATGATTCTAATTCATCTTTATAATTAGTGTAAGGAATAATCATGGTTTAAATTTCTAATTATAATACTTTAACATACTGCAGCATTTCAGACAAATAATTTTCTACAAAAAAGTCTGTGAACAAAATTAATAAATTAACATGTTTTTAAAAATTATTTCTCATACTACTTCTTAAAACTGAATGCACTTAATCAGGAGGAATATGAAGGATATATTTGATATTCCTAAAAAATGTTTCTAGAGGGGCGCCTGGGTGGCTCAGTGGGTTAAGCCTTTGCCTTCGGCTCAGGTCATGGTCTCAGGGTCCTGGGATCGAGCCCCGCGTCGGGCTCTCTGCTCAGCGGGGAGCCTGCTTCCTCCTCTCTCTCTCTGCCTGCCTCTCTGCCTACTTGTGATCTCTGTCAAATAACTAAATAAAGTCTTTAAAAAAAAAAGTTTCTAGAAAATTTAAATTGTTTTCAATAAAATGAAATTATTTTATAGACAAATTGGAATGAAAGAAAATCCTGTTCCTAAAATTATATATGTAGCAAGAAAACTTTGTGTGTGTGTGTGTGTACATATGTGTTAATACATATAAATATATTTATGAGGTGACACAGTCTAGAATTCGAATTTATACTTCAAGTGGTTTCTACCTTGAAGAGCAAAATTGCCAGAAATGCATGGCTCTATTTCTTTAAAATATTTTTACCAAATCTCTGTTTTAAAGATAGCATGGCAATACGTGCTAAAAAGTAGCTAATGAAATTTTCATAGAATATCTCATCTAAATTCCTGCTCAAATTTCAACAAGTTACTTCAGCCTGCCCATTTTAATATCCAGAACAAGGAAAGCAATTACTTTAGTGCTTTGTCAGTGACACAACCCTCCCAGTTTTTTATCTAGTGAGTCATAAAACAGTGCCATGTGTATCTTTGTGCTACCAAAATAAAATTTTTAATATTTATAGTTTAATTTCAGGGGTTATGGAAAATACCTTACTGATTTTATCCTTTTTACAATAGTATTTGACTGTAATTAAATAAATCCAAATAGTCTAGGTTTTGTGAATGGATATTTCAATACAAATTAGTTAAAATGCCTCTATTCATATGGTCACATTGTATTGTAATTATTCCTGTGACTCCAGTAAATTTTCAGTAACCTTTGATAATATGGTTATAAGCCCTATTTTTTAAAATGCATCTACGGCTGCCAAAAAAGAGAATTATCTATCTAATTAAAATAGTCATTTTTACAAATTTAAGTAGAACATCCCGGCAATATCATACTCAAATCATTGTTCACCTCCATAAAGTGATTGAAATTTTTTATATTAATTATTTAGAAATATCTGGGTTTTTTAAAAAAATATCTGTTATTTTTATAAAGTTATGTATTGTGTGTCAGTTTAGTCCAAAAATCAAAATACCACTAGTAATAATCTTTTTGCTCTCTGAAAATATTAGTCATGAAACAAGTAAGGTTTGAATAACACAAAAATTGCTAGGTGATAAGGAACATGAAATTAATTTTCTATAGGGACTCGAGCTAGAACTTTACTACTTTTATCTTTACTAACTTTGCGTCATAATCCTCTACTCTTTGTTTTTATACGTTTTAGACCAAAGGTATTCTTAAAGCTACACTAGGTGAAGAGTATCAACAGTATTTTTATTTTGGAGCTATATAAAAATGTTACCATTGGTGTATAGTTATGATATCCTTTCTTTAGAACATACTAATTTCTTAAAACTTCTATGGCGATGCACAAGGACTCCAGGAAAACTTTTAATATTTTAAACTGCAAATTGCTTTTGCTTTTGGACATTCTGCTTTTACAAGATAATTGTATTAAAATGCGATAAAAGTCACTTTAGAAGTTGTGATATTTCTATCTTTCATAACTTACGTTTAAACTAATTTTCAATTTGTTATTTTACTTTTTTAGGATAGCAAAGTAATATAATGTGTATGCGCAAAACAGAAGTATTATTTATACGTATTTTTTTTAATTACAGGTAAAGATTATAGTTCCCAACAGCACAGCAGGTCTGATAATAGGGAAGGGAGGTGCTACTGTGAAGGCTATAATGGAGCAGTCAGGGGCTTGGGTGCAGCTTTCCCAGAAACCTGATGGGATCAACTTGCAAGAGAGGGTTGTCACTGTGAGTGGAGAACCTGAACAAAACCGAAAAGCTGTTGAACTTATCATCCAGAAGATACAAGAGGATCCACAGAGTGGCAGCTGTCTCAATATCAGTTATGCCAATGTTACAGGTCCAGTGGCAAATTCCAATCCAACCGGATCTCCTTATGCAAACACTGCTGAAGTGTTACCAACTGCTGCCGCAGCCGCAGGGCTCTTAGGACATGCTAACCTTGCTGGCGTTGCAGCCTTTCCAGCAGTCTTATCTGGCTTCACAGGCAATGACCTGGTGGCCATCACCTCTGCACTTAATACTTTAGCCAGCTACGGATATAATCTCAACACATTAGGTTTAGGTCTCAGTCAAGCAGCAGCAACAGGGGCCTTGGCTGCAGCAGCTGCCAGTGCCAACCCAGCAGCAGCAGCAGCCAATTTGTTGGCCACCTATGCCAGTGAAGCCTCAGCCAGTGGCAGCACAGCTGGTGGTACGGCGGGGACATTTGCATTAGGTAGCCTGGCTGCTGCTACTGCTGCAACCAATGGATATTTTGGAGCTGCTTCTCCCCTAGCTGCCAGTGCCATTCTAGGAACAGAAAAATCCACAGATGGATCAAAGGATGTAGTTGAAATAGCAGTGCCAGAAAACTTAGTTGGTGCAATACTTGGCAAAGGAGGGAAAACATTAGTGGAATACCAGGAGTTGACTGGTGCAAGGATACAGATCTCCAAAAAAGGAGAATTCGTACCTGGCACAAGGAATCGGAAGGTAACCATTACTGGAACACCAGCTGCAACACAGGCTGCTCAGTATTTAATTACACAAAGGATCACATATGAGCAAGGAGTGCGGGCTGCCAATCCTCAGAAAGTGGGTTGAGTGCCCCAATGATACATCAGATTGTTTTAACCCCTCCTTTACCCCATTTTCAAGAAGGATGTACTGTACTTTGCAGAAGTGAAGTTTTTCTGTTATTAATATATAATTATGCAAATGAATGCGACTATGTTGACAATGTGTATATGTAAATAATATGTGTTTTACCAGATGTTTCATAGAAAGAATTTTTTCTTGATCTGTTTTGTTCTCTATACTTTGCTTGTGTATATTTGTCAGAGGTGTTTCTAGTGTAAGATTTAAGCCTGCCATTTTACCAGCATTATTGTAGTTTAATGATTGAATGTAGACAGGGATATGCGTATAGTTTTCAGTATTAGTTCTAGATAACACTAAATTAACTACTGTTAGGTTGAGTATGGTGGGGTCAGTGACCTAAAATGGAGTGAGGCCAAAGCACTGTCATGTAAGTCTTACTTCCTGCTTAGGGCACAGTGAAGTAGGAAACAATATTTTGAAAATAAGTTTTAAATTTAAAATGATCAAAAAGCAATATAGTTGCATAAAAGCACTGTAAAATATTTAAAAGGTTAAAACTGTGGAAAATTATATTGGTAAGTTTACAGATCAATAAAAGCACCTGTTCTCCATCTGAACTAGACAATGGAAATAATGCTGCATGCTGGCCATGGCCCATTCTTCATCATTTGTAAGTTCAACAAAAGTTCTCACATGGAGTCCCACCTCTTCAGAGGTTTGTACATTTGTTTTTAAGCACTGAATTCACTACTGATCCCATCGCCTGGCCAGTAGAACAGTCATTACTCCATTAACATCCTCACTGTTTAGACACATAACTGTGGTACAGTGTATTGGAAATTTTATAAACAAAAGTGAAAGTGCCAACAAATTATTGATAGCTGATAATGTTTCATTATCTGCAACTGCTTGATAAGTATGTTGCATTTTAAGAGCTTATAATTGTGTATAATTTGTTAACACTAGAAACCTATTAGTATTGTGAATGTAGATTTTACTGTGAAGCTATCTGTGATTTAGCTGTTTGCTCCCATGATGGAGTCTTTGCAGCATGGCGCTAGCAGCCAATGCAGTTTCTAATACTCGGTAATTTGCATGTTTTGTGGAGCATTTTTATGTCACCAACCAGACAGTATTTCCTGCATGCTTATTTAGAAGAGGCAGTTTATCTTGAGAGGTAGTGTGATCTACCTTTGTCAGGCTTTTTGACAGGTCATTTCAAAGTAAGCCTTTGTTCCCAAGACCCAACAACTGTCACCCTCTTCTGTACCTCTCCTGAGTGCCAACTGTCCAGGCCATTTGACACACCATCTGTTAACCTCTGAGTTTGCCCACTCAAGGCCACTCATAGGGGCATCCATCCCCAAGCACCTCCTCATGCTGTGCATGCAGTCTTAAATTCAATGGACAAAAATAAAATGCTGGCTACCTCTGGATCATCTGGCTGAGCAACTGAATTACAAAAGAGAATTACTTCCATCTCAACTTCAACCCATTGGTTACGTCCATCCTAGCAAGCTAAATGGCATCCCAGCTGCTCCTTTCTGTGCAACCAATTAAAGAACAATGAGTGTGATGCTCCATGTCTGAATTTCGTCCAGCCTCTCTCTGAACTGTGATCTTTGTCCTCATGAACTTTCCCTTTTGTTCATTGAACTATATGGACTCTTCATTTCATATTGATTTACTGTGCAATTTACTTTTGGACATTGAGAACTTGAAATTATTTCCTGATCCCTTCCCCTTCCACTATTAATAATTCATTTCTGTCAAACTGTAAGAGTAGATTCATTTTTTTTTTAGTTTTTAACATTGGACTGTTATTTCATTTAGAATTCTCTATCTCTAAATATTTATTTAGAGAATGATTTTAAAAGGGAATGATATGCTTGTTTAAATGAAAGAGAAAAGCTGTAGTAAACTGTGTTAATTGGTAATGACTATTTATCGTCGATACTCTGTAGCTGTGTAAGTTTTGACAAATAGTGTATCTCGTGGAATCAGTGGTTAGCATTGCCGCTATTATATTTACTCATTTTATCATTATAAATGTGCTTAGTTCATCATGTAGCATCACTTGTCTCCCGTCTCATTTTTTCCTTGCATGTCACAAGTCTCAGATCATTTATAATACATTAACAGTAAATAATATCTATGTAAATTTCTTTCACCGTGCTGTCTCAGAGTCAGCAGTGAACAAAGGCAAAGATTGGGGCCCCACTTAGTTGGAAAAGAGAAAGGAAGTGATATAGGATGTGTATTAGAAGCATTTCAAATGTTGGGTCTTTAAAATGTTTTGTTCAGTCGTAGCAAATCTTCAACCTTTTATTTCAAAATTCCAGTAGTCCACTGTGGAGCCCATGCATTTCATCTGGAATTTAATGTTACTTTGAAGCCAAACCATTTAAAAAATTATGTGTATTTATTAGCTAGTATTGCTGAAAATGCACTCAGTTCAATTTTAATTGTAAATGGGAATTTTAAACTTTTGCTAGTTGGCATGGTATTATGTTAGTTAAATCTGAAAGCTAAATTGAAGATATTTACATTTTAATTTATGGTAACAGATAAGGGTTTGTGTGCATTATGTGTAAATCAGCTTTATGCTGTCTAAAAACTTATTCTCTGAAATTTATAGACCATGTAGAATTGATTTGTGATGTGATGCTTTAATTTACTGGAAGAAAATTAGTATGGCTTCAGACTGCCACAGGTAGGCATGTAACAATGGCTGTTCAGCTATACTGATCCAAAATGGAGAAAACTGATGATACAAGGGCCAAACATCTTATGAAATGCAACTATTTATAGACTTGTTTTGCTATAGGGAGGCTGGTGAACATGCTGAATACGAATTACCTCAGTTCTGCAGCTTTCTATGTCTTTTTAATGCATTCTGTTTCAGGGTCACTTTCAATCAATATTTCATTTACTTACTGAGATTGAATGGGCGCTCTGAGACACAGTGTGCTGTTTATCATACAGATTGGACACCTCATTCTAGATCCAAGATCTTTTCCTCAACACTGGGAGCTGTCCTTTCAGCACCACAAAATTACTGCTTGAAGTTGCATTGCAGTCTTTTTTTTTTTCCTTTATCACTGGGAGCTTTTCTTTCAGCACCACAACATTGCACCTAGACTTTTTAAACGGCTGCCTTCCTCTTTGCACTGAAGACCAATTTCGTCTGCACTTCCAGTTATTGCTATTACCTGTAGGACTTTCAATCCTACTTCACCTCACCCACCCCACTCCTGAAACAGTTAAATGTATCTATTTCTGTGGAAGTCATTTTCTCATTGAATGATCAGAAACAAAGATAAATTCTAACCTGTAACGGCTCATTTCGACTCATTGCTTACAATAGATCTAAGCTCTTTTTTCTGCTTATTCGACTCCTTCCAGCTTCCCATCACATCTGTAACAAACTTTTAAAATTATATTGCCACACCACCATGCACAGCCTACCTGCACAGTAGAGATAGATTACTCCATCATATTCAGATGGTTAACAGAGGTTAGCAAGTCCTGTATTATATATTTATATCGCTTTCTAAGAAAGTGCATATTAATGTTTACTTTAAGAATGTGTAAATGGTGCTATCAAGAATCTGATAAATTTTATCCCAGTTTTTTGTGTACCACTTCTAATGTATGAGATTTATTTTTCTATTGGAAAAAAATAAACAGTATGAAAGCATTAAATTGGTAGATTTTAGTAATTTAACAATGAATGGAACCCCTATGTTACAGGCCCTATCTTTCCTTGGAAATTTTAATGGTGGTAATAGATTTCAACAAAGGTACTGATAATCACATTTTTTTAATCCATTCTTATATTGCATTCTTGATTCATGTGCTGATTCCTCACTGAGTCCTGAAGTAAATTTTACTTACTGTAAGTCTTCTCCAAGAAGGGAATTCTTGCTTTCCAAGGCAGCAATTGAAAGAGATAAAAATATAATTTAATACTCTTTACATCACAGACACGATTTGAGACCAGTTACTCTGTTAGTAGGAGAAATTCATCACTCATTAAATACAGGGCAAGCATGGCTATCCATAATAATTTTGGGTGCAATGCAGTCTTAGAAATTTAATGTACACACATTATTTAAATGATGCAAACAGCCATATGAAATTGCACATGATTAGAAAGCAGAATGAACTCATTTTGCCTCCTGCTTGGTTTCTCATAAACATGAATACATAATATTGTTATGCACTGTTGTTCATAGATGTCTTATTACATGAAGGGTAAGTATCATATTACTTTAACGGGTTATTTTTGGAATTCTGCATGTTATTTTTTGTTTCATCAGATATGTGCCCCAATAAAATAACATTTTTTCCAAAAAACTGAAAGTATTAGAAAACTTGTCATGTTAATTTTGAAAAAAAATGAAGTGTAGTACATATTACTAGATAGGATGTCATTCCACTGGTCTATATATTTAAAAAAAACTGTTCTTGAAAATTGAAGCATTACCTTGTGTAATTAATAAAGTAATCAAATCAGATTTGTAAATAAAATATTGTTTAAATCTAAAGTATTCAATATTTTGATTAGATTATTTTTTTAAGGAAAAATATTTAACGTGTATGTGCCGAATTTTTTTTTAAATAGTTTTTTATAATTGCAATGGAAGGGCAATTGTCTCATTACAAGTGGTACAGAAGCCAATACTTGGGTTACCATAGATATATAAACAAGTAAAAACTGTGGAACAAGTTTTAAGTTCATTTTGGAAAAAAAAAACAGTTCTGTAGAAATGCATATTTGTATTTGTTTCTCTAATAAATCTGCAAATAGCTTTAAACACAAATTAGTTTTAATTATTTAAATTATGAGTTCTCTTAAGTAATTTAACATCTGTTTTGCCTTACATTTGTGAAAACATTGTCTCATGGAAATTAATAGAGACTTATTGTGAAAAACAAGGTAGGTCTGCATTTATTTGAAAAGGTCAGGTATTTAGCATTCAAGTATGTTTACCTCTATG